ACACCGAATACACGTATCGTTATCTAAGAGTGTCTAGAAATGTCCCATCAGACTTCTACTTTCAATTTACCAGAAACCCATTTTATCACTTTGTCCCAAATGCTAGTATTTTTCTTAGGCTCAGATTAATAGCAATTGAAGAACGAAATCGAAGTGCATTTCAGCAACGCTAATTCTCATATGCATAAGAACTTAAGCGGTGTTTGGAATGGTAATGCTGGAATGAATTCTTGCAATTGATGGCGCAACAGTATTTTTTTTTTTCTCAGTATGCATCTGGGTTATTTTTCACTTTTTGAGGAATGGAACTCTGTTTCCGCTTATGAGATGAGATGGCATTTGCTCATAATGGCTAGAGTACCTGATCAACGCACNAGACTTCTACTTTCAATTTACTAGAAACCCATTTTATCACTTTGTCCCAAATGCTAGTATTTTTCTTAGGCTCAGATTAATAGCAATTGAAGAACGAAATCGAAGTGCGTTTCAGCAACGCTAATTCTCATATGCATAAGAACTTAAGCGGTGTTTGGAATGGTAATCCTGGAATGAATTCTTGCAATTGGTGGCGCAACAGTATTTTTTTTTTTCCTCAGTATGCATCTGGGTTATTTTTCACTTTTGAGGAATGGAACTCTGTTTCCGCTTATGAGATGAGATGGCATTTACTCATAATTGCTACAGTACCTGATCAACGCACTTTTCACCTCTTCAACCACTGAGCAAATATACTNTCCTCAGTATGCATCTGGGTTATTTTTCACTTTTGAGGAATGGAACTCTGTTTCCGCTTATGAGATGAGATGGCATTTGCTCATAATTGCTACAGTACCTGATCAACGCACTTTTCACCTCTTCAACCACTGAGCAAATATACTGTTCTTTATAATCGTTATCTTTTCATACACACACGTATACAGACATCCTTACATACATGGCCGGCAGTGGAGTGGAAAAAGCATGGGCTTTACGCCCGCGCATAAAAGAAGCCCCAAATTTTAAAGTTTAATATTTTAGTATAGATAAAAAATTAAAATTTATTATAATTAAAATTATTAAAAGATTANAAAAGCATGGGCTTTACGCCCGCGCATAAAAGAAGCCCCAAATTTTAAAGTTTAATAATTTAGTATAGATAAAAAATTAAAATTTATTATAATTAAAATTATTAAAAGATTAAGTCAAAATAAAATTTAGAATTTAGGTTTAAAAGTGTAGTTCATCTTACAAATATACATTACACATACATATTTATGAAAGGATAAAAAAAAGTTAACACTTCAATAAAAAAAGTATAATAAATATCTCTCTCTTTCATAAATTAAAATAAATCAGNCACATACATATTTATGAAAGGATAAAAAAAAGTTAACACTTCAATAAAAAAAGTATAATAAGTATCTCTCTCTTCCATAAATTAAAATAAATCAGACACATTTTTTATTTATCTCAAACTCGATTTTGTTCTCATTTCAATACAAAAACATCAACTAATTAAATTGTTTATTCTCACAAAACATCTACAATAAAAACTAATTAATATAAAAAAATTGATAAAGTTATTATCAGAGAAAATAAAATACAATAAAATAGNTTTGTTCTCATTTCAATACAAAAACATCAACTAATTAAATTGTTTATTCTCACAAAAGATCTACAATAAAAACTAATTAATATAAAAAAATTGATAAAGTTATTATCAGAGAAAATAAAACACAATAAAACAATAGGTGAGCGTTACATATATATACAAGTTATGGATCATAAAAAATTAAAAAATAATTCAATAACAAGATAACAAAAAATTATGAATATATACTAATAGTTGATAATCTAATACCACAATTTTCATGAAGAACATACAAACAAATAAGAAGAACATAAAAATAATAATGAAATAATATATTATGTTCCGAAAAGTGCGGTTCAAGAAAGAGATGAGATAGACAAATAGATGTGCAGATCTGTATGNCAAACAAATAAGAAGAACATAAAAATAGTAATGAAATAATATATTATGTTCCGAAAAATGCGGTTCAAGAAAGAGATGAGATAGACAAATAGATGTGCAGATCTGTATTTTAAAAAATATGTACTTAGCCATGATGATCAATATATATTTTCAATTCTTATAGATTTTACCATTGAATAATTGCACTCATATAGTATGAGTATGAAATAACACATATCAAATGTTTCTTATATATTAAACACAAAAATTATTAAAAATAAAAATTATGTGACATCACGTTATAACGTTGAATATCTTTACTATGACAATATCCCTTATAACAGTCCACGCATTATTTTTGACAAATAAAATATGAATACCTTTAATCTTTACACGTCATTCATTAATTAATTTGTCTCACTTAATTGGTTTCATAGATGAAGAGTCAATAATGAGACTACAATTGTTACGAGATGCACAAATATTTTGATCATTTGAATGGGAGACATAGCAGGCCTAACTATTAAAATAGTCTCCTAAAACCCTAATTTAATTTTCAGTCATTAGNTATGTGACATCACGTTATAACGTTGAATATCTTTACTATGACAATATCCCTTATAACGGTCCACGCATTATTTTTGACAAATAAAATATGAAGTAACACATATTACCTTTAATCTTTACACGTCATCCATTAATTAATTTGTCTCACTTAATCGGTTTCATAGATGAAGATTCAATAATGAGACTGCAATTGTTATGAGATGCACAAATATATTGATCATTTGAATGGGAGACATAGCAGGCCTAACTATTAAAATAGTCTCCTAAAACCCTAATGTAATTTTCATTCATTAGGTCAACTTCATGTTTTGAGACCTTTTTGAATAGCAAAGTTTTTTTTTTGGCGAACCTCGATGGTACGAGGAAATTTTATTAATTAAAAATTAAATTACACCTAATTAGGGGGACGTATATATTTTACCTCTCGATGCAATCTAATTATAATAATTAAGGAATTAAAAAAAAATCTAATGCATGATAATTACAAGGAAATAAAAAAATAGATAATTCTAAAATATTGAACTTCCTAAAAATTCTCCAAAGATGATGAATCTTGTCCATATAAGGCCTAATATATTTTAGAAATCTATCTACAACTTTATAGAAAGTTTTAAAATGTAATAATATTTTTAAAATGTCTATATAATGCCTTATATATATATAAAGTCCTAAAATATAACAAAATCTTCTAAAAAAATCTAAAAGTAATGATTTTTAACTTTAAAAGTAGCATTCTCTCCCAAATTCATTTTCACTATTTTTTCCTCTACTTTCACCACCTATTTCCAAATTTTTCTCTCCCTCAAACTCTTNTATTTTAGAAATCTATCTACAACTTTATAGAAAGTTTTAAAATGTAATAATATTTTTCAAATGTCTATATAATGCCTTATATATATATATATAAAGTCTTAAAATATAACAAAATCTTTTAAAAAAATCTAAAAGTAATGATTTCTAACTTTAAAAGTAGCATTCTCTCCCAAATTCATTTTCACTATTTTTTCCTCTACTCTCACCACCTATTTCCAAATTTTTCTCTCCCTTAAACTCTCTTTGCCTTGCTCCGATTATTTTTCCTTATTTCTAACTCTCTTGTACCACCTATTTCTAATTTTTTCTCTCCCTCAAACTCTCATTGCCTTACTCCGATTCTTTTTCCTTATCTCCAACTCTCTTGTTGTCTCTTTAAGTCTATAAGATTCTGACTTTATAATTGTATTCAATTTTTTATCTAATTCCGTCCAATCTCAAAAATACTAAAATATTGAAAATAAACCATACCGTAACTCTCTATAAAAAGTCAAATAATAGTTAAAAAATTTATTATCTTCTTAAAATATTTAATGAGGTAAAATTTTCGCTTCAAGCCTCAATTTGCGTTGGGCCGCCCTTGCTTACATATGTTGATTCTTTACATATGCTTTTTCTAGTTACTCTNTCTATAAGATTCTGACTTTATAATTGTATTCAATTTTTTATCTAATTCCGTCCAATCCCAAAAATACTAAAATATTGAAAATAAACCATACCATAACTCTCTATAAAAAGTCAAATAATAGTTAAAAAATTTATTATCTTCTTAAAATATTTAATGAGGTAAAATTTTCGCTTTAAGCCTCAATTTGCGTTGGGCCGCCCTTGCTTACATATGCTGATTCTTTACATATGCTTTTTCTAGTTGCTCATTATTTGTGACTTTATTGAAGTAGTTTCAATCTGTCACGGTGTTAAATTCTGATTTCTGACGTCTAGGTTATGTTAGGAACTTATGCCTAATTTATAATTGCCCAGCTTTGTGCTTCTACTAATATAACAATCAATTTTATTTTTGCTTGTCAAATTATGGGTGTCATATTTAAGTTCCAAACCCGAGGATGATGGATCACATCCGATTTACTATTTATACCATTAATAAAGGGATAGAAAGGGGGGTTTGATGTCCTCTCCCTTTATTGGTAGTTATTAATTGTTAACTAATAATATAGATTAATAGTAATTCAATGTAGTATCCTTTTCTAAAATTAAATAAAAAAGTACAAACCCAAATAACTTCCCCTACAACTTTTCATCTAAAACTTCCCACACCCATGTTTGTCTTCATTGNATGATGGATCACATCCGATTTACTATTTATACCATTAATAAAGGGATAGAAAGGGGGTTTGATGTCCTCTCCCTTTATTGGTAGTTATTAATTGTTAACTAATAATATAGATTAATAGTAATTCAATGTAGTATCTTTTTCTAAAATTAAATAAAAAAGTACAAACCCAAATAACTTCCCCCTACAACTTTTCATCTAAAACTTCCCACACCCATGTTTGTCTTCATTGCCTATCTCTTTTTACCAACACTTCATTCGAAAGATTTAACTTTTCATCACGTCGTGTGTACCATGAAATTTAGTCATTATAACATATGTGCATTGGAGATCTTGTAGAGTATCATTTTTTTTTACAGTTGCACATCCCTTTAAGTAATGGTGGTAAATTATTTTGGATGTTGCTATAACATGTCATTGCATGATAGACACATGAAAAAAACAAGATTGTTGGTAGATCTCAAGAGTATTCTTTCTTGCAGATTGGCAACTTCAGTACTAGGTTCTCCAGTATTCTTTCTTGCAGATTGGCAACTTCAGTACTAGGTTCTCCTTGCCATCATTTATCAAACGAGTGAACAAGCTCACAGAATGTCAAAAGGATGCCATAAAGAGTGTGGGATTTGGCAATTTGCTTCAGATTCCNTGCAGATTGGCAACTTCAGTACTAGGTTCTCCAGTATTCTTTCTTGCAGATTGGCAACTTCAGTACTAGGTTCTCCTTGCCATCATTTATCAAACGAATGAACAAGCTCACAGAATGTCAAAAGGATGCCATAAAGAGTGTGGGATTTGGCAATTTGCTTCAGATTCCTGATCAAATGCCTTGCAAAAACCTTTTAGTTGAATTGATGGAAAGATGGAGTTGTGAGAAACTTGCTTTTATACTTCTCCCGGGAGAGATAAGAATAACTCTAATGGACGTTGCATTGGATTTAGGACTACGTTTGACAGGAAAACCTGTAATCCTTAAAGAAGATGCACCTTCTTTGGATTTAGGGAGACTCTATGGTGCTACTGTTTGGAATAGGAAGATCACAGTAGCATCAATTGAGGAAAGACTTGAGTCTCTTGGTGGTAGAGATGACGCAGACTTCACCAGTTCCTTTTTGTTATTTGTATTGGGAACATTGTTATTTCCGAAAACAAATTACAAAATATATTCCCATTTTATTCCTCTTTTGCNTTGTTATTTGTATTGGGAACATTGTTATTTCCGAAAACAAATTACAAAATATATTCCTGTTTTATTCCTTTTTTGAGGGACTTAGACAAGGTGAAGGATTTTGCGTGGGGAGCTGCTGTTCATGAGGAAGTGTTGAACTGGTTGTGCAGAAAAAAGGAGACTAATGTACAATATGCAGGAGGCTGTCTTATCTTTCTCCAAGTAAGTGTTTAGACCTTATACAAAACAATCCAAGGGTTTAGACATAGGAAAAAAACAAGTCATTTAACTTTTTCAGAGGCATTGAAATGGAGTCTTGGCATTGCNGTTCATGAGGAAGTGTTGAACTGGTTGTGCAGAAAAAAGGAGACTAATGTACAATATGCAGGAGGCTGTCTTATCTTTCTCCAAGTAAGTGTTTAGACCTTATACAAAACAATCCAAGGGTTTAGACCATAGGAAAAAAACAAGTCATTTAACTTTTTCAGAGGCATTGAAATGGAGCCTTGGCATTGCAAATTGGCGATCACATTAGCCTTAAACATTAGAATGGTTTGCTTCCATTTCAAATTCCAACTCCAATGCCTGGATTCCACGTTGCAAGCGTTGCTTCGGTACCTCTCTGATTTTTAAGTTGTGTTTAAAAGTCAAGGGGTACCAAGAATTTGTGTTGAATGACGTTGTATCTCTAAGCTGCTATTCCTAATTTTAAAAATCTTGACCTATATTATGTTAATGTTCTAGATATGGTTTTAGAAGCATGTCGACATTCGTCGGCCTACTTTACGAGATTTCTCCTTGACATTTCCTTGTATCTGCTGGGAGAATAGTAGGTACAAAAATCGACAATGGTTTACGCCCAAATTTAAGGAACTGCAACATAATCAGGNGCTGCTATTCCTAATTTTAAAAATCTTGACCTATATTATGTTAATGCTCTAGATATGGTTTTAGAAGCATGTCGATATTCGTCGGCCTACTTTACGAGATTTCTCATTGACATTTCCTTGTATCTGCTGGGAGAATAGTAGGTCCAAAAATCGACAATGGTTTACGCCCAAATTTAAGGAACTGCAACATAATCAGGTACACAAGGATAAGGTCACTTGTTATTTACTTAATAACTTCCAGCTTGACTATCTGTTCATCTCAAGCAAAGCTAAAGTGTGTGGCTGCATCATACCTTATCTTTATCTGCCANGGATAAGGTCACTTGTTATTTACTTAATAACTTCCAGCTTGACTATCTGTTCATCTCAAGCAAAGCTAAAGTGTGTGGCTGCATCATACCTTATCTTTAACTGCCATTTCGGGGTGCAAATGGTGTTTGAACCTATGTTGTCATTTTCTGTTCTAGTTTGCAATTGATCAAATTTGGTCAATGTTATGAGTTAGATTGTAACATCTATTGCCAGATGTTATGGGAGCTTCAATTGACTTCCGAGGAGTCAGAAATGAATATAATTAAAGAGTTATTTGATGCACAAACTGNGATTGTAACATCTATTGCCAGATGTTATGGGAGCTTCAATTGACTTCCGAGGAGTCAAAAATGAATATAATTAAAGAGTTATTTGATGCGCGAACTANCTATTGCCAGATGTTATGGGAGCTTCAATTGACTTCCGAGGAGTCAGAAATGAATATAATTAAAGAGTTATTTGATGCACAAACTGATATAAGAGAACCATACAATCCACAATGCTCTTCAACAAGTGTTTCAGTGCTTAATGTGAGTTTATTGTGTTATTTGGTCATTTTTTTTAATCCATTGCATTCACGCGGTTCAAACTTTCTGTTTTCTTATATGAGAGAAAAGCTTTTAAATTTACATCCCTATGCAACCAACAGTTCTTTTGTTATTGTGTGTTCTTTCCCTATACCTTCCATTAATTTGCATGAAGTAAATTCTTTTGGTCAACAGGAGGATTACGTATGGACTAGACCTGAAATCAGGGAACATTGGGTCATTGACATAGAAAGTGAAGTAGATGTAGTCATAGTCAAAGAAGTATGTGGGGGTGAAAGAAGATTGTTTAAATCAATTGAGACCATCTCAACATGTGTCGAATGTGTTGAGAAATATAGGTATTTCTTCACGGCAGATAATGTGAGGGAGGGATAAAGAGAACAAATAGACCATCCATGGGCTTCCGAAGATACTTCCAGTTGTTGTTTATATTTTTCTTTAATCTGTGTCTTTTTCTATCCTACTACTTGGAAGAGCGAAAAAAAAAAAAAACTTCAATTTGTTTATTGAGGATGATGATGAGGGTGATTTGGGAATGAAAAATCGGATTTTAGAAGAGCACAATGTTGAATTGAAGGAGATTGATAACCTGAAAAAAGAAAATGAAATTCTGAAACGCCAGTTCATGTTAAGTACAAGGCTAGAAAAGTAAAATGTAGAACTAAGAAAGAAAGTAGAAAACCTGAGACGGAAGAACCAGCTTTTAAGTTTGTTTGCAGATGGTCTCGTGGTTCGATTAAAAAAACTTATTTTTTATGAGAAGAGAATGTAAATGCAACCGAAGAACACCACCTCCTGAGTGCACTGCACCTTCCAATGTTTTCTATGCATTACAGGATTCAGCATCCCACATTGAAGTCTAACAATCGATGTAAGCTGGTGAATTGTTATGCATGAGATCGCAAAAAGAAAAAATATGCAATACACTAGATTACATGATTTGGCTCAAAAACTTAGTTATATGGTTCGCTCTAACTAACCCATCAGAAAGTCCTCATCAACAAGGTGTGGGCTAAATATTGTGGTTGGCTTGACAAGGTATCAGTACAGGGCACATATCTGCAATGGTCAAAGTCAAATAGATCCAGTGGTTGATGTAGTACCCTGTGGTATAAATTTATGGTACTAATTTTACTCAACCACAAAAATGATAAGATTTTTTTATGCGAGTATAAATTAGTTAGGTTAGTATTGGTAGGGCAAAAATTTGACAATCATTGAAATGTGTCGAAGATTCATCTTTAGTCTTCGAATATCTTTCAATCCATGAGCTGTAAAATCAAAAATAGGTTAGATGGATCCTGGCGTTGAGCCAGGAGAGGCTTCTCTGATGTCTAAGTCAATATTGTGATTAATATATAAAGAGGCGAGTGTATAAAACTAGAAAAATAGTAAGAATGTGTGTGTGAGGTATAGAGTTGTGAGTTTCCATACCACAGTCTCTTTATATTTGGGGTTTTTACGGTATTTATAAAAAGAAGTACTTAGATTGTACTCATTTTTTTTATTAGTGGAGTTAGTCATAAGCTGACACTTCTTCCTTAGAATCCTGACCCATTGAATTATATGCCCATTGATGCAGCATCTTTTGTCGGAAGGTGAGACTTATTATGAAATGTCCCATCAGTATCTAACAACCCATTTAGTTGCTGTTGTAAGAGAGGAAAATAAGTATTTTTTAAAAAAAAATTCTATCTAGTATTATATAAATTGTACAAAAATTGAACTATTTTTTTTAACATAAAATACAAATACAAACACGACACCTACTCAGAATGAAACAACACAAGAATTGCAAGATAGAATTCGATTGGCCATCGTTCTATATGCTCTAGAATATAATTTAATTGAATGTGCGCGCACACGGGTGCTAGCAGGCATGGCGGTTGCACGTAAAATTTGTTGGCAACCATGCTTCTGCACATATCCGTGCATTAACGTGCGCACGGTATAAAAACGAGTTATACAACACAAGTTACTCAGACACAAATATTAAATAATTAAACTATTAAAACTCGGCTCAAATTTTAAATAAGTCAAATTTAAATAATTTTTTAAACTCATTTAAAAAAATAAACTTGTCAAGTTTTAGTTAACAAAATTTAACTTGATTATAAACAGTATAAATCTTGTTATGTTTTTCAAAGATTTAACAATCATTAGCACGACAGGAGGATCGGTCTCAAAGAAAGGAAAGGATTGGTCTGGCAAAGTGTGATTTTCCACTTTTGTGATTATGTCATCTTAACAATATCATATAATATAATTTTATAAAATGTGCTCCACTTTCGTGCACGAAAATAATTATGTATTATATAACTGGATGATTATGAATTTTTATAAAACTCACTTGCAAAATTTATCACTTACTAGTAAACAGTTACACCATGTGTGATACTATTAACGTGGTATACTTGTTACACAATATTTTCTCTTAACATGTTCAATTAATAGGGCAAAATGATAAACTTATAATTTTTGTTAGCATCATTTGATCGACAGCATTGACAATAAATACTCGACTCAACACCCCCGCATAGTTCACACGATCCTCACTCTACCAAATAAGGCCCAGTCAGAAGTTTTCCCCATGATGTCGATACATTATAATTATGCCAGACTAGGGCTGAAAATGTCAAAGGTTATTCAAGACCTTACACGCATTCACCCTTCTCATATCGACATATAGTATCACAGCCAGACAACTGTCGATGCGAGTTCTAGATGTAGAAAAAACTGCTAATAAATATTTCCTTTAATAAATTTATTAATGGACTATAGTGTCCTGATCCATCTCCCCCCCCCCCCCCCCCCCCCCCCG